GCCCCAATAATACCTTGACTTCAGCCTACTGAGACTGTGTAACTGGTGTCAGAACAGTCAGAATTATATACTGTTCTTATAGTTACAGAACTTTAATAAATTTGCACTGTGTAAAGCCACCAAGTTTGTGGTAATTTGTTTCAAGGGCATGAAACTAATACACCTACCAACACATTTCAGGAAATTTATGAACCCACAAGCTGGTCATGAATGACATGTCCTGGGTTAGGACCTCTTCAAGGTAATTTCTAGCACAAATATCCTGTGATTCTATATGCACTGATGCTCTGCCCTAGGCAAAACTTGCTCCTGGTAAATAAATAATCTATAAATAAATTATAAATTTATTTATATAATAATATTTATATAATATTATATATAATATTATATAATATGTATTATATAATAATATTTATATAATAATAATCTATAAATAAATTATAAATACTTTATAAATAATGTGTTAGAACTGAAGGTATTCTAAAATGCAGAAAGAACAGCTGGATACACAATTTTTAGGTATCAATAGATGTTTCAGCCTAAACTACAAATACAAAACATTTAAATATATTTTTCTTTAGTTTCCAGTGAGTGACATCAACAGAACTATGTACTGTGAGTTGTTTCATAACACGGACATATTGCAGGAACTGAAATATGAGAAAACACATACCAACAGAGGGGGGAAGGCAAATCTGGATCTATGTGGTGTTTTTTGATTATATAAATTTTATAGATCAAGAAAAATGAGCTTATTATTTAGTTTATGCTTCTCATTCTTTCACTTTAACTTGACTTTGAGAAAGCTCCTACAAAATAAGCATTTTTATTCCAATATGATTTTACAAATCCTATGAGGTCCTAGCAGACCAGAGAAAGATCTGTATTTTGTGGGGACGATAAAGCCAAAGGCAAAAACCATCCAAATGGTGGAGCAAGAATAGTATAATTCAGTATGCAATTCAGTACTACTTGCCATCAGGGCATTGGGCGCTTTGAGCTCCTTCCTGGAAATTTTCTAGAGCCCCCCGCATGGGGCTCTTGGAGTTGGACCTCATTGGGTGGACCCAGGTCTTTCCTTCCTGGAGCATGGAGCCCGGGGTATTCCCCACTATGTCTATGGCACCCAAAGCAGGGTGGTTGCAGGTCCCTAACTCAAGTGCACTGCACCGGCACCCAGGGTAGGGACGAGCACAAGCTACGTGCCTCAGATCTGGTAGACCACTGGAGTGGCGCTTCAAGTCCTCTGAGGCTTACAACTGGCACTTCAGATGGCTGTCCTCCCCAGCCCCAGATCACGTGGTGGCTTTGTGCTCTCCCGGGCTAGTCCAGTGCATTCTTTGCTGGCCAATGCAACCGCTGAACCGGATCCACCCACCTGGAAGGTATGGTGCCGCTGACACTGAAAGAGATCCCATTCTAGGGACGCGGTGATCCAGGCCTGAAGAAATCAAGACATGTTTGGAAGATATGTAGTAAGTTTAGTGTGACTAGAAAACAAATGATCACTTTCATTTTCCGGCATACTTCCGGGTAAGTCTTGCATTTGTGGACATCAACAAGAGAGCACATTCTTTGAGAAAATCACTAGAAGCCAGTATTCAGGAGCAACATGTTGGATGATGGAACTTAATGAGAAGGATATGGCCAACATTACCTTAATGGCATTAGGATACTGCAGAAGCAAGAACTGATTGTTTCAGTAGAAGTTACAGAGAGTCATGGCATTCTGAGTAGTAACAGCACTGTCACTTTTTTTCTTTTTTTCATGGTGGGAGATAGGCAGTTAGATAGGAGCAGTGCATTTCATGATAAAGAACGTGAAGAGATGGTACATGGGCACTACAGACAAACTTCATGCTCACTGATTAAACAAATGCATATATGTCTCTACTACTCTAAATCTTTATCAGTAAATCATCATATCTTACTTTGCCCATGAATTTTTAAAATACATCTTTTAATAAAATTGCTTATATAGATAGACCCCCCCCACAAAACATGTTTGCCCTGGAAACCACACACCCTTTGGGGTGCCGCTGACTCAACCTTTCACTATATTTTCTCACAAGAAGCCAAAGAATAATTTGACTTAAGTGTTTTTTAACTCTCAAGTTCATTTTCCTTCTACATTTTAAGTAATTTATACTGTATCTCCCTAGCCCTATCTTCTTCTATATTTTTGCTCCTTCACTTTCTCTCCTCCTCCTCCACCCAGTCTCTTTCAAATCCAAAGCAAATGTGTGTGTGTGTGTGTGTGTGTGTGTGTGTGAGAGAGAGAGAGAGAGAGAGAGAGAGAGAGAGAGAGAGAAATGGGGGAGAATAATATGAATACATATTTCTAGTGCAATTTTAACATGCCATGAGAAAAATAAAATTAGGTAAAGAGGATAGGGCATACTGAGAAGAGTAGTTGTAATTTTAACTCAGGTAATCAAGGTAGTCTCAGGGAGAGTCACATTTGAGGAAAAACCTGAAGGAGGTGAGGGAGGGAGCCATGTAGGTATGGGAGGAAGAGCATGCCAACCAGAGGGAAAGCAAGTGCAAAGATGTCAGGAAGAGAATCTGCGTTGCACGGTGCATGAACTGTAAGGAGGGTATTGTGGCAGGAGCAGAGAATAGGTGGCAGAGCAGTAGGAGATAAGGTCAGAAGGGTAACAAGATGTGCAGGTGAGGGTTAAGGAAGCCAGATGGGCCTTTAATTTGCGGGGGGGAGCGGTCAGTTATGAGTACGTGACATGACCTGATTTACACTGTAGCAAGATCACTCTGACTCCTATGTTGAGTTAAAGCAGATTGTAAATGAGGGCGGAAGTAGGGAGGTGAGTTAGGCTCGAAGTGATACTGGGATCACTACCCTTCAAGGGAACACTTCAGAGTACACAAAATTAGAATTTCATATGGCTATTTGTTCTTGTGACTAGTGATGAGTGTTGGGACACTTGGCTAAATAAAACATTAGCCACAAGAACTAAAAGAATTAGGATTAACCTTTAAATAGGGAATTTGAAATTCTGTGCATCTGAGAGTAGTGAAGAGTGCCTAGAAAATTCATAGGCACAGACAAGCAAAAAACACCAAAACGGTTTTTAAAGACTGATAATATTAGGAAATAGCAACTGAGAGTTTGCATTACACAAAGAAACTTAGATGAATAAAAATGAGTAAGACAAATATTTTAGGGACAGTATTCTTTAGTAATGAGGATGAATGGAGAACAGCAATAGAGAGGAGAAGTACTTCAGAAGATATTCTATACATTCAAAATTATGAATAACACTAATATCCTATGTTTGAATTTGCATTATTTCCTGTTCTATGAATGATCTTATAAGCTTATTTAGCTTATAAGTAGCTAAAGCTGGGCTTCTCACTTCTGGCCTCAGATCCCGTGATGTTCTCCCTACACCATTTGCCTATCTACAGAGCTTGAAACACTCCTGTCCTCTAACATCTTTATATATTAAAAACAAAACATTAAAAGAAAGCTAATTTGCCTCATAACAATCCCCCCATTTCAGGGAGTAAAGGGCCTTCCTGCATCTGTGAAGTGTCTTTGTCATTGTCAAAATGAAATGAAATTAGAGATCAACCAAAAAATTCTTAGTGATGTGATAAAGAAGATTTGGGCGGGGGGGGTGTGTGCTCTCTTGATTACATTAGCACTAGAACTCTCTTAGGCAGTTACCTGCAGTTTGAGAAACAGAACAAAACCACCACACGAACATTCTGAAATATGAAGGCTTTGTAGTGAATATAGCTAACACACCTGAAAAGGGTTTTTTTTTTAACCAAAAATTCTATTAGTAGTGAAACATAGGAGCACTTCCTTATCTAAGTTAAAACTTGCAACGAACATTAATCTTTTTCTGAATATAAACCTTAAATTTGTTGTTTTGCTGTACCTCCTCTATTTTGATAGGTTGTTTTTATTACGCAAGTTAAAGTTTTAAAATTTTACTTTTTTCTTTGATCCATTATTTAAAGGTGTTATCAACTTCTGTGCCAAAATCATTCTGTCATTACCTGTCAATTTGGTTACTTGAACTTCATCTTTCCTGTTGTTCTAGTCAAAAACAGTTTTCGACTTTTTTTTTTTTTTTTTTTAACATACCACATCAAATCCTGGTCCTACAGGATCTGCAAATTCCTTCTCATACCCCCAGTTCACTGTGCATTAGTTACCTTGGCTTCCAAAATACCAAGTGGGGTCTCACCTTAGGACCTTTGAACTGACTCTTCTTCTGTCCAGCTCTCCCCCTCCCCCAACAAATCATTGTTTTCTGTGAACTCAGGATATCCAGAAAAATGGGCACCTTATATTTGCAAAGTTAACTCGAGTATTTTATTTGATTCTCACCACTGGCAGTAGAGTTCCCAATTTTTCACCTCAAAGTCTAAAAGAATGCCCCCAAACCAACTCTTAAAGACACAGAATCAGTACCAAAGTGTAGCTGAATACGTTTGTTTTAACGTATTCCTCTGCTGTTAAGTAATACTTCCGGATAGAAGATAAAGATGCTTTCTGGTCCATAGTACATTACCATTTTAACAAGAGAAAACTCCAGAGACTTTATCATTGGGGAACTTATTTAAAAATTGTTATCCCCACTACACAAGTGAAATCAGTTTAATACAGAAAACGAAGGGAAATACAAAGAATGTTAAACATCTTTTAATATGCTGGGAGTATTATATTTCCCCATGTTCCTTTTTGACTTAACATATCCATGTTCCTTTACTGTAAACATAAAATAGAAATAGTTCGTTAAGAGTCTTCTCTTTAAAGGTACTATGCTCATTTAGCACGAGCAGAATTTCTGCTTCTCTGCCCACTGGAGTCTACCCTGGTCCACCTTTCGCACAACTCCCTTGGGATGCCAAGGAACTGGGAGACTCGACAAGCGTAAAGTCGGACCCCACCATGAGCCGACTTAAGCCGCGCATCGATCACCCTGGCTGCGGCCACGGGGTCGCAAACCGGAAACCGGAAGCGGCCGAGTTCGCGGACGCACCGCGCGTACCGTTCGCGGCCACCTCGTCCCGCCTCGGTACGCGTGGCCAGCGTTAAGTCTAGACCCATCGAACGATGATGTCGCGCTGAGTGGCTTCTCAGGCTCAGGCCCCGAAAAGCTCAGGAATCGGCCCCAGGTGTCCGTAGCGAATGCCCGGCCGAGTACCATTTCCATATTAGCAAATCCCAAGCGGCGGTGCGATCGGCAGCTTCTCAGCGCTCCGCTGGCCAGGCCTAACGAGTCGAACGCGGAACTAGAGAGCAGGCTAGGCCCGTGCGGGGCTGTTGCTCAGCAGGCCGGGCCTGGCTTTGGGCCCCGGGCCTCCCAGCCGGGGACTTTGCGCCTGCGCCCGTCCGGCTACTGCCGGCTCTCCCGGTGCGGCCGCGGTCCCAGCAGCAGCGTGCCGCCTGGGTGGCTGGGCGGTCCATGGGCAGCAGCTAGGGCCACGATGACAGATTACGGCGAGGAGCAGCGCAATGAGCTGGAGGCTCTAGAGTCCATCTACCCCGACTCCTTCACAGGTGACTTCCGCGACTGCGGGCCTGGAGCGGCCCGGGGGTGGAGTGGGATGGGCCGGAGCCCTCGGCCTCCCGGGCGAGGATGGAGAAGGGGACAGCGAGGCCGCGCGGCCACCTAGCCCGCTACTCTCTCTTCACCCTCTTTTCCCGACGTGTTCAGGCACTTAGGAGTAACTCCACAGCTTTTTCCCATTCTCCGTTTATTCCCTGAAATCTGAAAGTCCGCGAGAGACTGGCGAGGTTCCTGGAGAGTGTTAGGCCTGGAATTGAATTAGGTGCACTTTGGTTTCTGTGTAACTTACAGCGACCCGAGGTTTAATGAAAAAACACGAAAACATAACTCCAAGTGGGAGTAGTTTTTCTAGAGCTGCAGAGATGTCGACTTTCACCTTTACTTGGGTAGAAGCTGTTTTCATACGTTGGTGTTTTAAAGTTTATGGGGGTTCAGAGTGCTGTTCTCAGAGTTACCCAGAAGCAGTTTTGAGAATCCCTGGGATTTGTCCTTTTTTTTTTTTTTTTTTAATATTCTGTGAATGCCCAGTGAATGATGTGGCACAAATTTCAGCTCCACCGCAGATTCACATGTTTGTTAGGGGGGGATATTGGCCTGGACTCGTTTTGCTACAAGCAAGGTAATGGAGGCGCAGGAAGAGGGTAAGTGGCTTGCTTTGGGTCTGGCCAGCAGTTAGCGGCGGAACTGGTACTAAGAGTTAGGTTTGGACCCCCTCCTCTTCCTTCACTTTGCAGACCTGTGGAACTTGGGATCTAGCTCCAGCTGGCATGAAGGGGAGCAGAAGATTACTGGATAGGTTGGGCTAATGTAAAATATTATTGAGAAACTCATTCGGTATGTTTTAAGGGAAGAGAGTTTTTCTGTATTAAGTGCTTCAGATGATTTTGAAAGTGCCGCAAGGTACCACTGTCAATACGGCTTTTCTCGCATGACACTCAGTGTTTGAGAAGTGATCCAATAAAGCCAGTATAAGTGAGTAGAACCTAGGTTTGTGGGATTTACAGTTCCTGGCCCTTCCTTTGTTGTCCATCACTGATTGTCAGAATTCAGAATGTAAGGTATGTTCAATTCCGATCCCTCTCCCTTTGCTTGTTTAGCTTAGTTTTCTTAGCTCCACCTTTTGACCACTGCTTGCAATGGTAGCAAATTTTGTTCTGCTTTGCCAACAGGCAGATGTCTCTCAGCTACCCCTGTATAGCTCCAGTCCTGTTCATGTTCTCTCTCACCAACAGTACAGCTGTGCTGTGAGGATGTTAAGGGGATGAGTGAAGAGGGGTTTGAGAGTGTCATTAACTGGGTGAGTGTGTATGGAGTCTGGCTCCCTTCTCTATCCTTTCTTATATGTCAATGTCTAAATAAAAGAGAATATAGGGTCAGTTGCTGGATATACTCTTAATCGTGACGTTTGGTCATTTCTAGCACATTGGAAATGTAATTGGCACTGTGTAGGTAGAAGTTAAAGCATGAGGTGTGCTAGTCTTTTCTATGGACATAAGGTATCCCTCATTAAATACTGTGCCTATAAGCATTTTAAAAAGTGATACATTTTAAATCCTAAACCAATCTTATGGTTCTTTCAAATTATACTAAGCTCTGATATAGTTCAGTATGTGAAATTCTTGTCAGATGCAAAAGTGCTTGAGGATTTTGAGCTAGGGCAATACAAGACAATTTATGAATCTTTGATGCATTCAAATATTCTGCATTATCAGTGATCCCATCTGTCTCCAATTCCTACCAGTATTCCTAAAACTTTGCAATAAATAAATTAAAATAAGATGTCTTGATTTATAGTTCTTTAGGAACTTTGCCTTACTCATGATCATGTTGTTTATGAAACCTCTCAGGGAAAAGGCAGAGGAGTTTGGAATAAAACTCTTCCATGTTTGATCTTTTGGAATCATGAGGATTTGTAAGGTTTACTGTTTACAGCCTTCTTTTGTGTTGATGATTTCATACTTTCCTATTTTTGTACCAGGTTTAAGAAGAGAGTTTGCTTGTGTCAGTTTGCCAAGGAACACTGATTGACACTTTTCTAATTTCATTTTGAATCACATTTAATATTAGATGTGGTAAATGCTCAATGCTCTTGATGAAGGAAGTATATATATGTGTATATATGTGTGTGTGTGTGTGTGTATATATATATATATATATTTTTTTTTTTTTTTTTTTTTTAATAGAGAGCTTGGTGCTTGACAGAGAAACCTTTGTTAAGCACATCATGATCCCTTTGTGGATGCTCTAAGAGGCACAATCCAGCTAGCCCATAGTTCTAGCCACATAGACCTAGCCTAACCTCAGAATTGATTGCTTGACTATTTGCAAAGAACTTTTGGTCCACTGTTGAATTTGTTGTGAATTATAACAAATCATAATACAGTTTCTTCTTTTTGCCTGTTCTGTAGCTTGATTGCACATTGATCCAATCCTCCTAACAACTAGTCTTCCAAAATATAACTGGACTCTCCTGATACCACATTCTCCTTCAGTAGTGCTTCACTTGACAAGGCCCTGCTAAGGTAGTAGAATTTGGTTATATCCATTTCTGTATCAAAATCTCTGACTATGGGGAGTTTTGTTGAAACAAATTGGTTGGCTTCGGGCTAACCAAAAGTCAAGTTCCCTTAATTCTGTTTGGTCTTACAAAGAGGGGTACGTAATTCTGTATTTACTTGTGTCAGTACCTCTAAGTAGCATCCATGAGCATTTAACAGAATTGCATCCTAGAGATGGGGCAGAAGTCATCTTTTAAAAACAGTTTTTCTAAGACACTCCCTAAGAACCACAGGGACTTATTTTAATATGGGCTGTCTGGTTCTTTGTGAAAACCTTGATGTCATTCGTGTGTCCCTTTAGTGTACCTTTGAGCTATTACCTCCATCATGTTTGTCCTTAATTCTGTCCAGTTTGCCATCATCTGCCCCTCTATCACTTAACAGTTCCCCTGCTTGCTCACTGGTTCCTTCCACTATGCCCAGCAGCCTTATTCTTCTTCTCAAAAATATTTTGATTCACTTACAGTGGTGGAAATCCGACATCTTTAGTGAAGGCTAATTTTATCCCAACTCACAGTAATGCATTGGAATGGGATTATCCCTTTATCAAAGTGCTGATGAAACTTTCATCTTTGCAAGTCCAGTTAAATAACTTCCCCATCCCTATGTTAGCTTCCTCCAAGTTTTGGAATATTCTTTCTTTTTCTTTTCATTTCCCCTTTCCTTTCCTTTTTTCTTTCCTTTCCTTTCCCTTTCCCCTTTCCTCTTTCCCCTTTCCCCTTTCCTTTCTTTCCTTTCCTTGGATTAGGTTCAGCTGTGACAGAAAGCCCCAAAAAGCAATGGTTTTAAAAAGGTAAAAGTTTAGGGACTCCTGGGTGGCTCAGTTGGTTAAGCATCTTACTCTTGATGCTGGCTCAGGTCATGATCTCAGGATCATGGGATCTAGCCCTGCATTGGGCTCCACACTTAGCTCGGAGTCAGCTTGAAATTTTTTCTTCCTCTGCTCTCTGTCCCCCACCCCCCCACCCCCGACCCCAGTCCTCTGCTTATGCTCTCTCTCTAAATAAATAAAAGTAAATTTAAAATGGTAAACTTTTTTTGTTTTGCAAATAAAAGATAGTTGCGTAGTTCTAGTCCAAAGATTCCTTAGGTATCGAGGCTGCATCTTCATCCTTGCCATTCCTAAGATGTAGTCTCTACCTCATGGTGAAGATGGCAGTATTCCTTTCCAGAAGTAGGGTAGATAAAGGAGTTGGGGCTGGGGGGAGAAGCCAAAGACAGCAGTTTTTTAAGTAAATTTCCTGGAAACTGTCAAAGAACTTACTTGCTTCCATCTTGATAGCCGGAACTTAGTCATTTGGTGAGACCTAACGGGAAGGGAGGCTGGGAAATATAGTCTTTATTCTGGGTGGTTAATATGCTCCGTTAAAAGTGGTATCACTAGAAGATGGGGTGAGTAGATAAGATAGCAGGGGATATAAGTAGTGTTTTCCATTATCCTTTTTTGTTGTTGTTTCTGGCTCACATTTTTTTTCTCTCTAATGGCAGCTTGGTGTAGTGGGTATGAGCTCTGTGTCTTTGGGAAATTCTTATAACCTCTCCAAGTCTTTAGTTTCCATATGTGTTTAATGGGGAGTAATACAAAGTATGCAAATACTTTATAACTATTAAATATAAAATACTCTTTCCTAGAAATTTACCATCTTAGTTGCTGATTCTTCTAATAATACGGCTTCATAATTCCTTATCTTTATTGGTGACCAGTTTTGATTTCCATTTCCTTCAACTGCATGAGGGCATAACCACACCTTGTAAATGTCATCTTTAGAATTTTGCCTTCTGAAAGTCCTCTTTCTGTCTTTAAACTTTTTGCTCCACAGTTCTTCATTCCAGTTATTTTGCTGAACATGCCTCTCATTGTGATTTTTCATGGATTAACAGTCTATCAGCTTCTTGTCTGTCTTGCCTCCCTATTCTTTATGTTTCCGAAGGTCAGGCAATTCAGTGATGTTTTTGCTAGCATCCCGTGTCCTCATTTACCAAAGACATCAGATACATAATTTACAATATAGTGTGATGATTCTTTCATGGAGGATACAGCCAGGAAGAGGGGAGGGTCTTGGTTGTTTTGGAGAACTGAGGGGTGATGAGGAGCTAACAAGTAAATGAGACCAGGGGAAGGGACATAGCATGTGGAAAAGCAGGACTCTGCGAAAGCAAAATGTATTTAAAGGGAAAATGGCTTGATATGCCTAGGACATAAAATGAGTACTGAGAGTCATGAAAAATGAGGCCTGACAAGTGAGCAGGGACCAGATTGCAGAGGGCCTTGTTAGGGATTTAGATCTGCTCTTGCAGGCCAGTGGTTCATCGCCAATTTCCCCCTGACAGAGCTACACAGACCCATATAGTACACATTGTGAATGGTGCCATACCATACCTGGATCTCAATAGTTGGGATGCCTTCACAAATAAAATAGGCTTCTCTTGAGTTTCTCTTGACCTCTCATGGCTGCTGCTTTTGTTTTTCTCTCTGGCACTTTTTTCTGCTCATACTTTTTTCTCCCAAATTTAGGATTCCTTACAAAGCCGCTGTTGGCCCTATTTCTCCATTTTTTCCTCTGGTGATCTCATTTGGTCTAATAGCTTTAGCTCCATTTGCCCATTTCTGATTGCATATTGCATACTCCATATCTCCAACTGAAATTTCCTTGTGTCATTTAAGTGTATCATCTCTGATTTTTCTTTTGTATTTTTTGCTTTTTGTTAGTGGTGCTACCTTTCTCTGCCTGCAAATTTGGAACGAAGAGTCCTTCCTCTTCCCTGCGAATCCCATGGCTGCTAACCTAGTTCAGAACCTCATTAACCTTACTGGCATGATTTTAATAGCTATCTAGTTTCATCCTGCCTCTGGTCTTGTTTCTTTCCTTCCAATTTATACCCTGTTGCTACACTTATCTTCCTATGTTTAGAAATACAATTCTGGGGGCGCCTGGGTGGCTCAGTGGGTTAAAGCCTCTGCTTCGGCTCAGGTCATGATCTCAGGGTCGTGGGATCGAGCCCTGCATCGGGCTCTCTGCTCAGCGGCGAGCCTGCTCCCTCCTCTCTCTGCCTACTTGTGATTTCTGTCAAATAAATAAATAAAAGCTTTAAAAAAAAAAAAAAAAGAAATACAATTCTGCCCATACTGCTTCTGCTAGAAAAAATATCATTGTCCACAGCTAAAGTTTCAGCAGTATTTTTTCAAGTACTTTTCTTCACCCACATATACATCCACCAAACGGAATAATTTCTTCTTCCATATATATTCCTTAAACCATTATGCCCTTGCTGCCATGTTTTTGTTGCCTATATTTCTTTTCTCCATCTTTACAATATGCCTTAATTCACAGTCTAGCTCAAGTCACTTTGCCGGAATTTCTCAGCTGGAAAAAACATTCTCTTTTTACATGAAACTCAATATAGTTTATTCAGTTCTTCCAATTACTAGCTGAATAACATTGGGCAGAGTATTTAAGAGCTCTTTTATCTCAGTTTCTACATCTGTAAAATTGGGATAATACTATATTTAATTGGTTCTAAGACATTTCTATGTTTTAACATCTCTGAAATAGGAATTTGTCTTATAATTGATTATATATTGAAGTTTAATTGGCAGATTTTTTCTTAGTACATAAAGTAGAGTGCATCTCCTACTTGATAGTATCTTAAATTTGGTATCATATCGTAACAATATAATATCGTGGTCTTGGTGTAAGAATTAACGATCTTTGTGTAAATGTGTAGTACAACATAGGTCCAGAGTAGTGCTCAATAAATGTTAGCTGTTGTTATTAGGTATAGGTGACCCTTAAATTATGGCCTCATGGAGTCCTAAAAATGGTAATCAGTTGGAATGTCATTGAGTTGAACCCTTATTTCTGTAGTTGCTATATTTACATTTGATGACATATGAATGCTAAAGTTGGTCATGAAAAGAAGTAGGAATGAAATGCATCAAATACATTTTATACACATTAAAAAATTTAAAAAAGGGTTAATAATATTTTAAAAGCTTTATTTTAATTACCTTTCAGGGACTTTTTTTAGCGTGGGCTGGACTATCCGAGGCCTATTAAAATATGAGTCCAGTGAGTCTTACCTTCTTGACAGATACTTTCATAGTAGCCATAGATGTTCATCATGCTTCAAGTACTTTTAAACTTCAATTAAAATGAAGGCATATGTCTTGAAAATTTTATTGATAATGAATATTTATGAAAGCTTCAGAAGTTCTTAAGTAGGAAAAGCTGAGTATTTTCCTTGGTGACTTCTTCAGAGATCTCCTTGCCCTTTCATTTCAGAAAGAGGTTGCTGAGCTGCTGCCAACCTTGACAGGGGCCAGTGCTTCCCAGGGCTGGAGTGAGGCACAGGCTTTTCTCAGGGGCTCAGCAGCAATCCCAGGTGGCCTGTATTTTTCTTGTTTACTCTTCTAATGATTCTGAATATAAGTCTAATTTGTTTTTGTTTTTCTGCTTTCATTCCATTGTTTTAGCTCTACCATTTAGCTAGAATTTGTGGAATTTCTAGATACTGCCAGGCACTGATCTAGGAGCTCTTATAATTTTTATAGTATTCTTGTAGGGGAAGAGATATAAATGTATATACTGTCAGGCATCAGGCTGTAAAATGGTATATATGCTTTCTTATTTATCTAAGTGTTGATTTGCATGTCTTGACTTGCTTAACAAATTGTAAGCAATTTGATACTGGGATTCATAGCTAATTTTGTAATTCCATGAAAGATGGTAGAGACTTAATGATTGGTGAAAGAATAAAGTTTGGTTCTAGGGATGATGTGGGTGAAAGAGAAAGAAGACACAACTGTAACAAGTTAATATTTACTGTTTGTCATGGAGATTCTGAATTATAGCTTAGAATATATTTTACAAATTAGTGATAATACTGTCAGTGGATAGTTTCTGATGAAACATCAGACTTTTTTGTCATTCTGTTTGGGAATTTTTTAGGATGTAATTTTCCATGTATAGATGGAAATTTTGAATTAAAAGGTAAATTACTTAATTAGTTTAATTGATTTGATAAAACTCCCAAGAGTCTACTATAGGTATATATTTTTTTCCAAATGAAAGGTAACCCTTGATTTAAATGGAAAATTGATAAGTGTTTTATCATTTGAATGTGTGGTTCAGTCTGTGTTTGTGGAAATGGAAATACAGACTAGGGATCAGTTTCCAGGACTGGGTAGTGGTATTTTGGTAATAAGGAAAGCATTTGCCTTAAGAGACATCTTAATAACTTAAAACCTGTGTATATTTTCTTGCAGTATTATCAGAAAATCCACCCAGTTTCACCATTACTGTGACATCTGAGGCTGGAGAAAATGATGAAAGTAAGTCCAATTGAAAATACTTGTGGTTTTTCTAAGTTGCTCTTAGGAATGTTACTCCTGCAGCCATTATGTTGGCATTGAAGATGTGGAGGTGCTAATAAGTATGGTGCTGTTAGGAATCTAGCATGAATGTTGTGTATTCCCTAATTAGCATTTACTATGTAAACATGACTTACAGAGAAACAGAGAGGAAGTCACTGAGATGTATTCTGACACAATGAATTTAGTTTTAAAAAGTGAGAAAGAAACATTAACAATATAGCAAATGGAGAAAAGTTAGAAGATTACTCTGTAAAATGAGACTTTGAAGTATATTTCAGTGACTATGTTGTGGCATTCCATTGAGTGTTATTTTCCAATGGTTGTTTTTACTCTTTGGGCATTTAGATTGCTTATTGGACATTTGCTGTTATTTATAAATTAAACGGAATAAATGTCTTTCTTTATGATTTTCTCTCTCTCTTTAGGATGGATATTGTATTGTTGTTTAAATACATATATACATAAAACCAGGTAAAAGCCACTATTATACAACTATTGAACCAAGATAAATATACTGATGGAAATAAAACAGTTATAAAACCAATAATTTAAAATTAAGTAGATTGATTTAAATGTGGCAGATGCTGGGGGAGGATCTGAAGTTCATTTCCACCATTCGTCCAGTTCAGTTAATTTTGGAATTTGATAAAATGTTACATACGTTGGTGTTAACACCAAAGATTTTTTTTTTTAACGTTAAGCTAGTCAACTAAAATTCGCTATGAGTAATCAATAATGCAGATTTTAGTGGTATCACCTGATAACTCTAAATCTGTCTCATACAACTGAAAAAGAGATTAGTACAGAGATATTACTAAAATCTGAATTAAAAAGATATTGGACACAGTCATTTACTTCTATATGTATTTATATATTTACATAGGTTTTATACATAGAATCTCAAATACAACCAGAGTATCCTTTTATACTTTGAAAAGTAAATAAATGTATAGAAGATACTTTAAAATATCTTTTAAAAAATATTTTTATGATGCTTTAAATATCCCAAAATGGTAAGAGTGATCTTTTCTTGGTGGTGGGATTATTACTGATTTTGTTTTCCCCTTAATATATTTCCAGATTTTCTATAATGAATGTCTATTACATCAAACAGTAAAATCAGTAAATGTATTAAAGAATGCTTTTCCTAGCAATAAAATTAGAAGTGTGTTAATTAAAAAAGAAAGAATGTGCCAGAAGACACTATGTATCCTTATTGGCCTGACAATCTTTTTTTTAAATTTAAATTTTGCTTGGTTAACATACAATGTAATATTGGTTTTAGGAATAGAATTCAGTGGTTCATCACTTACTTACAACACCCAGTGCTCATCATAACAAGTGCCTTCTTTTATACCCATCACCCATTTAACCCACCCCCACCCACCTTCCTCCATCAATTCTCTGTTTGTTCTCTCTAGTTAAGAGTCTCTTATGGCTTGTTTCCCTCTTCTTTTTTTCTTTTCCCCCTTCCCATATGTTCATCTGTTTTCTTTTTTAAATTCCATATATCAGTGAGTTCATATTTTTCTTTCTCTGACTTATTTCACTTAGTGTAATATACTATAGCTCTATCCACATCATTGTGAATGGCAAGATTTCATTTTTTTGATGGCTGAGTAATATCCCATTGTGTATATATACCACATCTTAATCCATTCATAGTTGATGGACATTTGGGCTCTCTCCAGAGTTTGGCTGTTGCTGATAATGCTGCTATAAACATCAGGATGCATGTACCCCTTCGAATCTGTATTTTTGTATCTTATGGGTGAACACCTAGTAGTATAATTGCTGGATTGTAGGGTAGTTCTATTTCTTACTTTAAAAAATTTTATTTATTTATTTTTAATAATATTTATTTTAGAAAGAGAGAGAGAGTGTGTGTGTGTGGGGGAGGGGATGGCAGAGGGAGAGGAGAGAGAATTCCAAGCAGGCTCCACACTGAGTGCAGAGCCTGATGTAGGACTGTCCTATAACCCATAAGATCTTAAGCTGAGCCCAAACCAAGAGGATGCTCAACTAACTGAGCCACGTAGGCATCCCTAATTTTTAACTTTTTGAGGAACCTCCAAACTGTTCTCCAGAATGGCTGAACCAGTTTGCATTCCTACCAGCGGTGCAAGAATGTTCCCCTTTCTCTGCATCCTCACCAACATCTGTTGTTCCTTATGTTGTTAATTTTAGCCATTTTGATAGGTGTGACATGGTATCTCATTGTGGTTTTGATGTGTATGTATTTCCCTGACGATGAGTGATGTTGAGCATCTTTTCATATGTCAGCTGTCTGCATGTCATCTTTAGAAAAGTGTCTGTTCATGTCTAATGCCCATTTTTTTTTTAAGATTTTATCTATTTATTTGACAGAGATCACAAGTAGGCAGAGAGGCAGGCAGAGAAGAAGGGAAGCAGGCTCCCTGCTGAGCAGAGAGCCCGATGCGGGGCTCGATGCTGGGCTCGATCCCAGGACGCTGGGATCATGACCTGAGCCCCTGAGCCGAAGGCAGAGGCTTTAACCCACTGAGCCACCCAGGCACCCCTCTAATGCCCATTTCTTAACTGGATTATTTGTTTTTTGAGTGTTAAGTTTGATAAGTTCTTTATAGATTTTGAATACTAACCCTTTATCAGATAATGTCATTTGCAAATATCTTCTTCCATTCCATAGGCTGCCTTTTAGTTGTTGATTGTTTTCTTCACTGTGCAGAAGATTTTTATCTTGATGAAGTACCAGTAGTTCATTTTTTGCTTTTGTTTCCCTTGCTTCTAGAGACATGTCTAGTAAGAAGTTGCTATGGCTGAGGTTGAAGAGGTTGCTTCCTATGCTCTCCTCTAGGATTTTGATGGTTTCCTGTCTCATATTTAGGTCTTTCATCCATTTTGAATTTATTTTTGTGTATGGTGTAAGAAAGTGGTCCTTTCTTGTGCATGCTGTCCAGTTTCATTCTTCTGCATGTTGCTGTCCAGTTTTCCCAGCACCATTTGTTGAAGAGATTGTCTTTTTTTTCATTGGATATTCTTTCCTGCTTTGTCAAAGATTAGTTGACCATATAGTTGTGGGTCCATTTCTGGGTTTTCTGTTCTGTTCCTTTGATCAGTGTGTCTGTTTTTGTGCCAGTGCCATACTGTCTTGATGACTACAGCTTTGTAATAGAGCTTGCAGTCCAGAATTGTGATGCCTTCAGTTTTGTTTTCCTTTTTCAAGATTGTTTTGGCTATTTGGGGTCTTTTGTGGTTCCATATAGATTTTAGGATTGTTTGGTCTAGCTCTGTGAAAAATGCTGGTGGTATTGTATTTTGATAGGGTTTGTATTTAATGTATAGATTGCTTTGGGTAGTATAGACATTTGAACAGTGTTCTTGCAGTCCATGAGCTTGGAATATTTTTCTATTTCTTTGTGCCCTTTCCAATGCCCTTTTCAATTTCTTTCATAACTGTTCTCCAGTTTTCGAAGTATATATCTTTTATATCTTTAGTTAGGTTTATTCCTAGGTAGCTTGTCATTTTTGGTGCAGTTGCAAATGGAATTGATTCCTTGATTTCTTTTTCTGCTGTTTCATTATTGGTGCCTAGAAATGCAACAGATTTCTGCATATTGATTTTATATCCTGCAACTTTGCTGAATTCCTGTATTAGTTCTAGCAGTTTTTTGGTGGAGTCTTTCAGGTTTTCTACATAGAGTGTCATGTTGTCTGCAAATAGTGAAAGTTTAACTTGTTCCTTGCTAATTTGGATGCCTTTTATTCCTTTTTGTTGTATAATTGTTGAGGCTAAGACTTACAGTAGTATGTTAAATAGTAATGGTGAGCATGGACATCCTTGTCTTTTTCCTGACCATAGAGGAAAGGCTCTCCAGTTTTTCCCCATATAGGGTGATATTAGCTGTGGGTCTTTTGTATATGGCCTTTATGATGTTGAGATATGTTTCCTCTATCCCTACTTTGTTGAAGGTCTTTATCAAAAATGGATGCTGCATTTTGTCAAATACTTTATCTGCAACTATTGAGAGGATCATATGGTTCTTGTCCTTTCTTTTATTAATGTGGTGTGTCACATGCATTGATTTACAAATATTGAACCATCCTTGCAGTCCAGGAATAAATCCCACTTGATTATGGTGAATGATTCCTTTAATGTACTGTTGGATTCGATTTGCTAGTATTTTGTTGAGAATTTTTACATCCGTGTTCATCCTCTGATGGCCTGTTTCTCCTTTTTAGTGGGAGCTTTGGTTTTGGATTTAAGGTGGCTTTGGAGAATGAGTTGGGAAGTTTTCCTTCCATTTTTATTTTTGGAATAGTTTGAGGAAAATAGGTATTAACCCTCCTTTAAATGTCTGGTAGAATTCCCCTGAGAGCCATCTAGCCCTGGACTTCCATTTTGGGGGAGATTTTTTATTATTGATTTAATTTCTTTGCTGGTTATGGTTCTGTTCAAATTTTCTATTTCTTCCTGTTTCAGTTATGGTAGTTTGTAGGTTTCTAGGAATTTATTCATTTGCTTCCCGGTTGCCCAATTTGTTGGCATATAATTTTCCATAGTATTCTCTTATAATTGTATTTCTATGATGTTGGTTTTGATCTCTCTTTCATTCATGATTTTATCTTTTTGGGTTAACAGTCTTTTTTTTTTTTTTTTTTTTTTTTAAAGATTTTATTTATTTGACAGAGAGAGATCACAAGCAGGCAGAGAGGCAGGCAGAGAGAGAGAGAGGGGAGGAAGCAGGCTCCCTGCGGAGCAGTGAGCCCGATGTGGGGCTCGATCCCAGTACCCCGGGATCATGACCCGAACCGAACGCAGAGGCTTTAACCCACTGAGCCACTCAGGCGCCCCCTTTTTTTTTTTTTTTTTTAAAGATTTTATTTATTTATTTGGCAGAGATCACAAGTAGGCAGAGAGGCAGGCGGGATGGGGTGGGGGAAGCAGGCTCCCCGCTGAGCAGAGAGCCCGATATGGGGCTCGATCCCAGGACCCTGAGATCATGACCCGAGCCGGAGGCAGAGGCTTTAACCCACTGAGCCACCCAGGCGCCCCCAGTCTTTCTTATATCCATTGACTCATAAAATTCCTTATTGATATCATACACAAAAATTAAAATATCAAACTCACACATTTTAAGGTTTTTTTTTTTTCCTCTTATGGGGAGGAATCTAGATTTGAGTTAAAATTATCAAGATCAAGAGTTTTTAATAATTAAAATGTGAGTTTTTATAAGAAAGCTGAAGTTTAGACAAAGGATCATTGTGATTAATAAGTTTTATTTATTTATGTATTTGTGAATATTACGTTTTAATAGAAAATGTTTAGCACTGCTGCTTAGTTGCAAATTTCCTGGTGGAACTGAGTTCACCAGGTTGGTCTGTAGGGAGATACCTTGCATTGATCTGCCTATAAGGATCTCATTCCTGTACAAATGTCAGATGTATGCATTTGATATGGCTAAAAGAGTGAGTGAGAATGTATAATGAGTCAAGCAAAAAGTTTCTCAGACAGCCTCTCAAACCCTATTTCTAAACCCTGTCATCTAGCAACCCCTTAGCAGTCTCTTGCTGGCACTGTGCATATAGATATACAGACTTCAGGGCTGACGCAGATCTTCCTCACTGGGAGCTGGCTCTGGTAGAGGCCTGAAAATAAGCCTAAGGTAGTGTTTTTTTTTTCTATGTATTATATTCTGTGCCTTTTGTTCATCTTAAGGAGGGTCTTAAAAAGAGTGGCTTTTATCCATCCTCTTTCCCAGACATGCAGTATGGTAAAATACTCATAAGTAATAAATGTATTTCATGTGTTTGAGGTGATTTTTGGTATTCCCATGATTTGTTTTCACTTATCTTTGTGGTATGTGTTATTTATCTTAGTGATTATCTGTCTGATCTCATAGTAACCTTGTTTCTCTTTGCAGGAAAATTTCTTGTGCTACTTTTCATTGACACATTGTAAATTAATTACTGATTCAACAAAAATGTTGACCTCTCTATACTTTACATTTTAAAATACTCATATCAAATTCTTATCTCATGTCTTTAGCTGTCCAGACTACCCTCAAGTTTACATACAGTGAAAGATACCCAGATGAAGCCCCTCTTTATGAAATATTCTCCCAGGAAAATCTAGAAGATAGTGATGTCTCAGACATTTTAAAACTATTAGCATTACAGGTAAGGAAATAAGTTTTGTAATGGCATTTTTATTGGCCTTAAATAGTATGCAATAATTTCAAGAGTCAGAAAATGCTAGTAAATATGTATAACCAGTACATTGAACAAGGAGAATTCATGGTGTATCTCTCTCCCTTTCTCTCTCTCTCTCTCTATATATATATATATGTATGTACAGATACAGGTATTCACAAAGCATATTTTTTTGTTTCCCATTGTACATTTAAAATTTGAGTAACTGAAGTTCCTATATCCCTTCTTGGAACTCAGTCAGCCTCATGACTTTTAGTTAATAAAATGTCTGGTAAGTACTTTAAGTTTAAACACAGTTTTGATCTGGTTCTCAAAATGTCTAGCCCCATGTGCAGTTAAAAATTCTGACTTAAGGGCGCCTGGGTGGCTCAGTGGGTTAAGCCTCTGCCTTCGGCTCAGGTCATGGTCTCGGGGTCCTGGGATCGAGCCCCACATCGGGCTCTCTGCTCAGCGGAGAGCCTGCTTCCCTTCCTCTCTCTCTCTCTCTGCCTGCCTCTCTGCCTACTTGTGATCTCTGTCTGTCAAATAACTAAATAAAATCTTAAAAAAAAAAAAAATTCTGACTTAAAAAATAAAAAAATTCCGACTTTTAAAAAAATTAAAACTCCTAACCCTCTGACCTGTTGTAGGCTAGTTGCCTGCAGTCTGGGAAGAGGACTGGTGATTGTTTTGTTTTTCTTATCTTTCATCTCCTGAGGCTTACAAGAAGCAGCCAGGGTTTATGATCCCTCTGAGAGCAGGGTGTTGTGAAGAAAAAGTGGGTATTGGAAAACTCTTTTGGCTAGTTCTGTGGTAGGAAAAGTTCCCCATAGTTTGTGCTTAGCCAGAATTTAAAGCTCTGTCTTGCTTTGGTTGAGAGTTTTCATGGGTTCTTCAGAGTAGGGAGTAGGGAGGACAAGTGCCATCTTTATTCCACCATGTTATAAATAGAAGTCCTAGTTTTGTTTATTTGTTCTAGGAACAATTGACAGAAAACATATCTACACCTTAAATGTGACTGATATATTTCATGGACTATTGGTCCTCTGACTGCTGATATTTTAAAAATATCTGGAGCTATTAGAGAATGAAGAGTGAAATAGATCAAACATGAATTTATGCTTATCTTGGGCTCTGTTCATTCTGCTACCCGGTATGAAGTTATACTAATTCTAATATTTGACTTAAAATGCTTCATTTTAAAACATTGCAGAGAACCTGAGGCAATATGCTAATTCAGTTAGTCATTTATTAATGTAAGTTATTTGATCTGAGTGATTACTTTCTATGTGTTTTATATTTTGTTTGTACTCAAGCTCCTTCATTTCAGAAAAGAAGTTTTGATTTCTTTCTTATAGTTACCTAAGATCATATCTATTGAGGGAATATTTATACTTTTTCTTCCAAAATAGTATTGATTTTCAATATCAAAATAATTCATATTATAAAAAACTCAGAAAGTACAGAAACTCATAAAAAAGAAAATTAAAATTACTGTTAATCTCACCAACCAGGTATAACTGCCTATTAACATTTTGGTATGATATGGTTCCAGACTTCTTATGCTTATACTCATAGTACTCCTCTTCTACCCCAAATTAGATCATTCTATATATAATGTTTTATAACATCCCAGATGTGGGCATCTGTCCATTTTAATAAACATGCATATGAATCATCATTTTTGATAACTGCATAGAATTTCACTGTGTGTAATTACACATATCCTTTTTGAAACAATTATTTACCATTTTTACCTGAGTTAATATGTAATTCTTTGAACCTGCTTCTTTTTTTGTGGGGGAAGGAAGGGGCAGGGGCAGAGAGAATGAGATAATCCCAAACAGGCTCCACACCCAGTGCGGAGCCCAACATGGGGCCTGACCCCACAACCCCAAGATCATGCCTGAGCTGAAATCAAGAGTCAGACATTCCACCGACTGAACCACCCAGGTGTCCCTTTGCACATTCTTCTGTATCACTATTTGTAAATCCTTAGAGCAGAGTCTCCATTGAATCCCTAGTGCCTGGAATACAGTAGACACTCAGATATTTTTTTGAATAAATGAAGAAAGTATATTATTGATGAGTATATAGTCCGGTGTTTTCTGTGAGTAAGATTACTGGGTTAAAGTGTGCATACTTAATTTCATACACATTGCCAAATGGACCTTCAAAATGGTTGCGCCAGGTTATGATCTCACTGTAGCCATTGAGGTGTCTGCCCACCTCTGCTAACATTAGATTTTTTTCATTTAGAAAGAAAAAAAAGATAAGATGAAAATAGTATGTAATCATAATTTGAAATTCTTTAATTAGTAGTGATGTGGAAATCTCTTGTGTGACTTCTCATTGTCTGGTTTCATATAACTGATTCTTTGTTTGCTTTTCTTGTTGGAACCCTAGAATACTTAAGTTGTTAAAAAAGAAAGCATACTGGGATTTGATTTTGAAATGTATCAAGAATTAAGTTAAGTGACCAAGACAGACACCATCCCCACTTTCATAGGTTTTATATTCTGGTGAGGAATGTGGACTAGCAAATTGGAAATTGTTATTCTGTGTGGAAAAGTGCTGTGAGTGGACATAGACTTGAGGCACTGGAGAAGCTTTCAAGAGAAAGAGTTTGTCAGGCAATGAAGAGAAGATTCAGGGCAGAGGAGCAAACTTGTTCAGAGTCATGGAAATGAGAGGGAGAGAAGAGATCAATGTTTCCTTCCAGAGCTTCTAGTCATACTAAATTTCTTGAGCTTAGAAGTTGAGGTTAGTGATCTTATGTGACAGAACTAAAAAGATTAATTCCCAAGGGATCTTCTGAACTATTTTAAAAGTATGGTGTTGCTCTGATTGATTTGGGAGGCTGTCAGGAATTTTAAGTGAGAGACTGACTGGATCAGTTATGTGTGTGTATTGAGTGGCTAGAGAAGTTGATGTCAGGGGTGACAAGACCACAGGTTTTAAGAAAACTGGTTAGGAGTTTCTTGTAATATTTGAAGATGATGGTGCCCTGGGTTAGGGTAGTAGCAGTGTTGATAGAGAACAATAGGCAGATTGAAATGACATTTTAAGAATAGATAGAGGCAGTGGTAGAGCTTAGGATGTGAGTGTTCATGCTGGGTGGTTGGTGGTTTGGTTCTCTGAGTTGGGGAACATAGAAATAGGTGTTGTGGAGAAGATGATGATTTCAGTGTTCACATGCCTGCGGACATATTGCTGTCCACTGGGCAGTTTTAATATGGGTTTTGCACTCAGGAGAGAGGTTTATGTAGTCAGATTTAGGAAGGTTAGCATGGAGACACCACAGAGAAACCCCCAGAAGAGAATCATAAGAGCTAGCTTGAGACCTTGTATTTAGAGAAGGCCAAGGAGATAAAATACCTACTTGAATGCCACTGAGGCCAGCCCTGTCAAAGTAGTGGCTGGAAATCTCTTCTGCTTCTAAGATGGAGATTCTGGCTTGTATATTTGGGATTTTTTTGTTTTGTTTTGTTTAGGTTTTTTTTGTCTGTTTCCTTTAGACTATATCTTGTTTCTATGGATAAGCAAGATACATTGTTTTACTTCAGTCTGCTTTCAAATGACCAACTTCCAAATAGCTTTTGAATTACAGTTGACCCTTGAATAACATGGAGGCTAAGAGACACTGACTTTCCACACAGTCGAAAATCTGTGTGTAAGTTTTGACTGCCCCAAAACTACTACTAACTGGCAGGAAGCTTTACCCATAATATAAACAGTTGATTAATGCATATTTTGTATGATATATGTACTATATACGGTATTCTTAAAATAAGCACGAAAATGTTACTAAAAAGTCATAAGAGAGAGAAAATACATTTACAGTACTATACTGTGTTTATTGGGGGGGAAAATGGATATAAGTGGACCTCTGCATTTCAAACCTATATTATTCAAGGGTCAATTGTCTATCCCTTTCATGAGTTGGAGAGCTTTTATATTTGATTTTAAGCCATTTCAAATTGAAGGAAAAAGATAGGTAAAGATAAATCACAAAAGTATCTATATTCTTTATTATTGTATATTAGAAAGTCACTTTGGCCTCAAAGTTCAGTTCATTGTCACAGCTCTTAAAATAGCCCAAAAGATCTAAATTGTGAAAATTTGGTGGAGAGCTCATGTTACTAGCTGCTATAGGAAAAAGTTTTCTGAATTCTGGTTATTAAACAGAATCGAGTAAAATAGGTATCTGTTTCAGGTTGGAGGTAGCAAATTACATGTCTTTTAAAATTTAACATATAGTTATATATATGTATGTATGTGCTCAATTCTTAAATGCTCATTTATCCAGGTGTCTGAACTTACACTGTAACTGAATTAGTAATCATATTATAAATGTCTGGAATTTAGTGATTATGATGAAGCACTTATTCATTGGTTAGTTTTTCTGTTTTTCTGAGAAGTATGTTTCTCATTACAATCTTTCTTTTGTTTACATAGGCAGAAGAAAACCTTGGTATGGTGATGATCTTTACTTTAGTGACAGCTGTACAAGAAAAATTAAATGAAATAGTAGATCAAATAAAAACTAGAAGAGAAGAAGAAAAGAAACAAAAAGAAAAAGAGGCAGAGGAAGCTGAAAAGGTATATTAAAAGCTGGGTTTTCTTTCATTGTTTTTTACATCTTTTTTTTTTTTTTAAATTGTTTGGTGGGATTTTTTGTTTTTGGAAATTTCAGTAATTTTGGCAATTGCAAAATAAATAAGAGTAAAATTTATTTAAATTTTCCTACATAAAATGTTAGAAGTCACTTACTGCATTGGTCACATAGCATGGGTAATAATAAAGGTTAGTAGAGCTCATGCAAGTAAGATTGAGAAATATACATTATTTCTTTATAAGTTATTAATTTTTTAATAAATTTCAAGTGTCTCATTTATGTAATCACATGTCTTTTTTATTTTCTAAGCAATTATTTCATGGCACTCCTGTTACAATTGAGAATTTCTTAAGCTGGAAGGCCAAGTTTGATGCAGAACTCTTGGAAATTAAAAAGAAACGAATGAAAGAAGAAGAACAAGCAGGAAAAAATAAATTAAGTGGTAAGACTCCCCTCTTTGCTGCCCAGGCTGTTCTATATTTTTGCACAGCAAGAGGATCATTTGGACAGATTTCTATAAAAAAAAATAACATATTTGGGCATCTAGGACAAAAAGAGAAAGCATTCTATCGACATGATGACATTTCTTCATTCATAATTATAATTAATTTTTATGGCTTACCTCTGATCAAAATATCACAATGGATAGATCTTGAGATGTGGCTCCCACAACATTCTGAATCACAATGGTTAGAAGTGGTAGAGACAAGTGCATTTGGTTTTCTAGGACTCTGAAGCAGACTGGGTTTTCACTTGTTCAATTTTAATGCAGATACATATCACATGCCTCTTAGCTACTTACTGAATTCATAAATTTATTGAAATTCACAGAAAAATAGGTTTTCTTGTTTTCTTGGATTATTATACTTTTTAAAGGATTGTAGGGAAGATGGAGGAAAACTGGAGAGGTGGGAAACTGGAGCATATAGGAAAAATACGTTTGAATTAAATATATTTGTTTCTTTTAGGGAAACAGCTCTTTGAGACAGATCATAATCTTGACACATCTGATATCCAGTTTCTGGAAGATGGTAAGATAATATTAAGATTCCACTTGTACATAATGCACTGTTTTTTTTTTTTGTTTTTTTTTTGTTTTTTTTTTTTTTTTAGAAAGAGAGATCACAAGTAGGCAGAGAGGCAGGCAGAGAGAGAGGGGGAAGCAGACTCCCCGTTCAGCAGAGAGCCTGATGTGGGGCTCGACCCCAGGACCCTGAGATCATGACCTGAGCTGAAGGCAGAGGCTTAACCCACTGAGCCACCCAGGCGCCCCCATAATGCACTGTTCTTAATATCAAACCATGAAAATCAGAGAGATAACTTAATGTAAAATTTTCCTCCAGGGCTAAAAACACACACATTTTGAAGAATAGATTGCAACGTTTGATTAATTTATACACTAAACTATAGCAATATGTTTTTTAAAGTTTTCTGATAACCTAAGCAACATCAAAGATAGAAGTAAACAACTGTGGTCATATTAGTCTCTGATAACTAGTAAACTAGGCCACTATAACTCAGGTGACCTGGTTTACTTAAATTTCTAGTATCAGAAATCTCTGGAAACTATTTCATGGTCATGGAACTTTATAAAGACCTCAAATCTGAAAGTCTTCATGCCCTCTAACTGAAAATCTTATGTTTCATACTAATCTTACTGTCTAGAACATCTCTTTCCCTGTACTTTCCTTCTCCTTTTTATCCTAAACCTTATCCTTTTTCAGTCTTCTGTCCATCCATTATTCATCCATCTATAGATATTTTGCACCCCTAGTATAAGCCAAGCGTTGCCCTGGTTGCTGATGATACAGCAGCAGAGAACAGTATAGACAAATTCCCTGCCCTGGCCTATGTGTGTTCTTACACTGGGCTCCATATTCAGTCACACTTGTGATAGTGTCCTAGAGTTCTGCTTCATTAGCGGTTTTTCATGCTCATCTTGCCAGTTGGGGATCCTGTAGCATCTGGCCTTTCAGCTTTGTTCCTGGACTATCTCCTGGAAAAGGTTAAGCAATGTTGATGTGTCCTCACTGCCAAATCATGCTTCTTAACTTGAGCTAGGCCCTTATGGACACTCACCATTTTATTTTATATATCTTACTGCATTCTTGCTCCAAGTCATTTATTAGTCTCAAACAAACAGAATCACCCCAAACAGACAGACATACCGACCCAGCAAGGTTGTCTTGTGCATCCCACCCCCCCTCACTTTTCTAGCTTGTTTTTCTCCTATTTTATTGAGAAATTCTGGAACCAGAAAGCTGTGTCTTATTCTCTCTTGCACTTTAGAAGTTTTACTGTCTCCCCTCATCCCTGACTCCTTACCCTGTCTAATGGATCAAGTATCTCTTCATATCCAGTGACTTTCACCAAAAGCTCTTTGTCGATTCTGCATCAGAAATGTTTTTTCCAGACATTTTCAACTCTTTCCTCCTAACTTGAGTGTTTTATCATTTTTTACCCCCTCGGTGTTTGTGGTGGCTTCTTGCATTGTCTCCTTGCTTCAGTCCCTTCCTCTTTTTGGTGCCTTTAGTCACCGCCCCTGAGGTGGCACTCCTAAAACTTACGTTTGATCATGACACTTCTCTCCTTAAAATCTTTTGATGGTTCTCTGTACTTAGAGGAAAAGGTTGGCCTACACAGTCCTTCAATTTGGACTTCATCTATGATATCTCCAGATATTTTTCCTAAAGAATCTTGTGTTCCAGTTGGAAATATTCAGTCTTATTTTTTCTTTCTTCCTTTGTGTATACCTTTACCTATAATTGCTTCATCCTGTCCCCTTTTCTTCTTGGTGGATTAAAATTTATTATAAAGATATTTTAGATGTCATCTGTTTTGGGAAGCCTTCTCTGTCTCTCCCAGAGACAGTGAATTATTCTTTGGCCCGCACTTAGCAAAAGTGTATTTTATTACTTAATAGCTCATAGGCGTGAAGCAAGACTCATTCTCGTTGAATTGAATGTCAGTGGGCTGGAGTCTGCCAGGAAGGGAAGATGAACAATTTTTAGTGATTTAAGAGTACTGTACTATCCCACGTTTATGTACTTGAGACAAACTGAAGAGTAAAGATGTGTAATGCAAGGCCAAGGTATTGTTTCCTATAGTGCTCAGATATTTGGAATCTGAGAAAGGCATACCATTGGTTATAAGTGGAACTACGTGAGAGTAAGGGTCAGTTTATATCTAACAATGAAATAACAAGTATAGTTGAGCTTTAATGATGTGCATATCTGCCAGTACTGGAAGAGATAAACTCCTGGTTCAGGCCCCGTGGTCAGTGACAGTCAACTTTGTATAACCAGGATATACCATCGTCCTCCGCTTAGAACATGCCATGTCATAAATAATTCATTCTAGGAAAGCTTTTTTTAATAACTGGATTTTTTTTTTTTAAACTTGAAGCATGAAGTTGCTCTTAAAATGTGTGTCTATGCTGACCAATGCAGATGACTGTTGCTTTGATTTGCAGTAGTAGTTTAGGATTTCATCACGGGCACCTCACTTGCACATTTAGAAGTTTGTGTGTGGTGTTGCCAGTGAGTTATGTGATTTATTCCTGAGTATAAGACTGAAAGTGAAATCTTTTGTCTTTTGCAGCTGGAAACAATGTGGAGGTAGATGAATCTCTGTTCCAAGAAATGGATGACTTGGAGCTAGAGGATGATGAGGATGATCCAGACTATAATCCTGCTGACCCAGAAAGTGATTTGACTGACTAATGGACTGTCCCCAGCTGCAGAGAGGTGTGACTGCCACAGCATCTGTGGCTTTGCTGAGGTGTTGATTTTTCTTTCTTTTTTTCTAAGAAAAAATAATTTTCAGGAGAATATTCTTCTGATAGCTTTCATCATTGAACTTAATAAACTGACCTTAAAGTTTCAAATATAAAATGTTCAGTTCCTCTTCTTGGTAGGAATAAGGTCACATATTTAAAATCATTTACTTTTGGAGACAGAGCCAGCCTGTAACACTAATAAGACTTGAAGATAGAGTGCAGCAGTGCACAGGTGAGGGTTCATATACAAGAAATTGTAGTAACTTGGAATTCCCATGCTGGAGACACTGACGGCTTTATGCTTCTGAGTGCTATCATTAATATAAAATACTAGCAGACGGAGGTAAAGAGCACATTAAAAAATAAACCTTCTGAATTCTAGCCTTTGGTCTTGATAGATTTAAGTCTTTACAAAAACAGAAGCCTGATTTGTATTCAGGATTAAAGTGGACTTTAGTCTTCTGGTAGTATTTGAGTCAGCATCCTCTGTGGAATTCTTAAAAGGTGTGCACTCCTAGGCTCTTCTCAGTTTAGTTTATTAAACACTGACTTTAATCTGAATTTTGAAACAGTGAAATCTCATGCCAGTTGACACAGGTTACACCGTTGCATAATCCTTATCCTACAGTCGTGAAATATACATATTTGTGATGTTCCCTTACTTTTCTAATTTAACCAGTTCTGAAAAGATCTGAATTGTTGAGGTCGTACACTGTCTGCAGGAGAACACATACCCACATTAATGCACATATAAGACCTTTTCTGTAATGATTTGGAACGACTGACTTGGGGACTTCAGGTAGGAGAGCCAAGCTTCATGCATGTTAGCCAGTCACTGTAGTTTTGGAGAATTGAATCTTAATCCTAATAGGAAGTTACTTGTGCTATTGCAGATCATTGCCTCCTTTCAAAAGGACACAAGCACTAGCACCTCAGTCCCATGTTTATTTTTGGAGTTAGAACTCTGGCTAAAATCATACTATTTAAGACAAAACTATCATTGAGGAATGTAATACTTTGTCACTAGCTTTGGTTCTGACCAATAAAAGGGAATATCAGTAATGTTCAGCATTTCTCTGCAGAGACAAGTCTAAAAGTTTCTTTTGTGTGAGAATTAACTTTTTCTTTCTTTTTTTTTTTTAAAGATTTTATTTATTTATTTGACAGACAGAGATCACCAGCAGGCAGAGAGGCAGGCAGAGAGAGAGAGGGAAGCAGGCTCCCTGCTGAGCAGAGAGCCTGATGCGGGGCTCGATCCCAGGACCCTGAGATCATGACTGGAGCTGAAGGCAGAGGCTTTAACCCACTGAGCCACCCAGGCGCCCCGAGAATTAACTTTTTCTAAGGAGAGATCCTTTCTGAAGATGCATTAAGAACTCAAGAGCAGTTTAATAAAGGGTAAAAACAAGCAATGATGAAGAATGTAGTGCTATGGTCAATGAAGATTTGACCTTCGAGTGTCAAGAGTGATTCCACCTCCTCCTCACTCCTGATTTTCTTTTAAAGTATAAGTTTTTTACGTTTTCTGTAGGTATTGAAGTGAATTCTACCTTTGTCATTTCAGAATATAGGCAGAACCTAATGGTATGGAACTGAAGACAAAGAGTTAGTTCTAATGATACTCAAGTATTTTCATCCTGAGTAAATACTATTATTTCTTTTGTTTTCTGAGTTAAACAAGGACTCTACTTCTCAAACTGCAGCACACATAATCCCAGGATGTGCAAAAGCATGACTGGTGGTATTTGAAGCAATCACTGGCCATCTCAGATTATCAGTTTGGTTCTTGGATTTGGGATAATTTTTGCTTTTGTTTCTCTACGTATGCTAAGTTGTATAAAATATAAGATTAAGAACAAATACAAGTATGTGTATCCTTTGCTATATCCCTGTGACAATGTCTGGCCCTGAGTAGGCATCTAATATTTGTTGAATGAGTGAATTATAGAATAGAATGAAAAATTGGCGTGCATTTTTTAAAGATAAAACATGACAGTTCAGTGTTCTGTTTGCCATCTTCAGTTTTGCATAACTGGATTCTGCATTATTTTATACTCTTCTGCCAGCAGAGATGCCTTAGGGAAGAGGTGGATAAATACTGATCTAAGGCAAACACATCTAAAAGGTTACAGGAACATTTCCTAGTTGAGGTAAGACCAGGAAGAGGATGAATAATAGCTCTTATAGATACACAGGATGAGTTCATGGCTTGTACTGTCACAAACTCCAAAGATACATGTGCTAAGAAGCTAAGAGATGCATTCTTGGAGTCCAGGAGAGAGGCGAGTGTGGGTTTTCAGTATTTATATGCTAGCACATAGTTCGTGTTACAACACAAAGTAGTAAACGACCTCCAGTAGCTCGTAGTGTTTGTCCTTCAGAGAACATACATATCAGGCAGCAAAGGTAGACATTGTATGATATATTAAAATGGGTTGACACTTCCACAACTGTAGAGAGTAATTTTGGAGAGACCATCAATATCTAATGTGATAGGGAAAGGTTTTTGCAAATGATACGTGGAGTATGAGTCCATATAAATGTATAAACAGCAATGACATTAGGTTCTTTGCTGCTTTAGGACCTGTGTCAGAGTAAGAGATGCAGAATGTTGCCAAAAGGTATATTATGTTGATAGCCTTCTGTTTCTTACCACTTTAGTTGGGCAAAGGACTTGGAAAGAAAACGGGAGAGGTAGTTTGGGAATGCACAATTTAGTGTACCTTCCATTAAGAAAAAATGGAAAAATGCTCGAAAATGTTCAAGAACATTATAAGGGATAGCAAAACAAAATTTTAAAGAATAACTGCTGTGCAGAGCCATTTTGGCACCTGAGGTAAAAGGACACACCAGTAATTACTTAAAATTTGGATATTTTATTTATTTTGGATTTTATGTTAATCTTTATTTTTTAAAATACTGCATTAAATAGTATTTATCTTAATAACTGAGTTTTTGGTGTCTCCTTAAATTTTGCAACTAATATCAGTGCCACTTACCTTACCATAGTCCTTAATAGTTCCAAAAGGCTTTCAGGGTTCTCTGGTCTCTATCCTAAGAATATTGAGACAGGCCTGGAGGTGAAACCATGTGGAGGGGGGCTCCCTTGTGTAAATTCAGATGCTCAGAAAACAAAGAATGAATCATACCAGCTTCAAGCAGATATTAAGCTAAAGCAACTAAGGGCCAGGAAATTACTAGACTATGTGCTACTGCCACATGCATAAGACATCTGAAAAAATAGGTTATAGCTGGGAACCTGGGTGGCTCAGTTGGTTAAACGTCTGCCTTTGGCTCGGGTCATGATCCCACGGTAGGGATGGAGCCACACATCATGCTCCCTCCTCAGCGGGGAGTCCATTTCTCCTTCCTCTACTCCCCACCGATTATGCTCCCTCAAATAAATAAATAAAATCTTAAAAAAAAATAGGTTATAAAAGAAGGGCCATCTGTACCCCAAAGTTTATAGCATCAGTGGCTACAATTGCCAAACTGTGGAAAGAGCCAAGATGCCCTTCAACAGACGAATGGACAAAGAAGATATGGTCCATATATACAATGGAATATTCTGCAGCTTTCAAAAAGGATGAATACCCAACTTTTGTATCGACATGGACGGGACTGGAGATTATGCTGAGTGAAATAAGTCAAGCAGAGAAAGTCAGTTATCATGGTTTCACTTATTTGTGGAACATAAGGAATAATGTGGAGGACATTAGAAGAAGAAAAGAACAAGTGAATTGGGGGAAATCAGAGAGAGAAACCATGAGAGACTCTGGACTCAGAAATAAACTGAGGGTTTTGGAAGGGAGGGAGGTGGGGGGATGGGTGAGCCTAGTGGTGGGCATTAAGGAGGACATGTATTGCATGGAGCACGGAGTGTAGTGCATACACAACGAATCTTGGAACACTGGAAAAATAAAATTTAAAAAATAGGATATAGCTTTGACCATACCAATCCAACCGTAGGTGTGATATAATCTTTAGTAAAATGAATTATACTCCAAATTTGGTGGTATCTTTAATAGATTGATTCTTGTGGAACTCACTATCTAGAAATTATGGATCTGGAACATTTTCCACCTAGACTTTTGGGATATTTTTAAAAGAACTTGATATTTGGATGTATCTTCTGACATTTAAGTTTTGTGTTAAAGGTCAGACTGATTTATCTCTGTTGTTTGAAATGGCTCTTAGCCATTAGGATCTGTTACCAAGAGTGTTTTAAAATGGAAATATTGATGCTAAGGCCCTTGAAAAACAACATTAAAGGAGAGTCTTAGGCACATTCTCTAAGGTATGCATTTAGTGTCCTTTTTTTGCCCCCCATCATCAACTTATTTTATTGGATTCTTACTGAGATAGGAAGTGTCTGTGTTCATGTATTTTACGAAGGGAGGTTGAAATGTCTCTCTTCCCTACATTGGTACTCAATTGATAAAGAAACAGGACACATTGAGCTAGCCCCAGAGAGCTTGAACACAAAGGAAAAAAATGATTTTAATGTTTAATACTTCATATTTTAGTTCACCACCAAAAATTAATGCATGTGTAATATGAAAATATATAAGATGGCTCTGGTGGAAAGAGTGAGAATTGGAGTAATAGGCTCTTCTAATAATGGAGAGTTTGCACATAATTAACAATCTCTGATTCTTGATTTCCTCTGTAATGTGGGGATTACAATAATTTCTGAATATGAAAAAATAACTTAAAAATGACAACTAATAAATGTGTTCGAATTGGTGAGTTAACACTGCAGTTGTTCACAGGGCTTTTTTTTTCCAAATCTCCCCACATTTCCTCTCCACCTTGTCCTCCTGCTCCACACAATGAAATTGTAGGGGAGAGGTGTACTGTGTGGGCTGAATGTTTCATATATTGAAATCCTGAGCCCCATGGTGATGATGTGACGAGGTGGGCTCTGGGAGGGGACGACTGGGATTAGTGCCCTTGTCAAAGCCTTGAGCTCCCTTGCCACTTCTGCCATGCGAGGTCACAGTGAGAAGACCAGGAAGGAAGGGGATTTTCTCCAGACACGAAATCCTGGTGGCATTGCCTTGGACTTCCCAGCCTCTGAACTGTGAGAAGTGTCTGTCTGCTGTTAGAAGCCACCCAGTCTGTGCTGTCCTGTGATGGCAGCCTGAATGGACTCAGACAAATACTCCTCATCTTTCTTTTGCCTTTATTTCTTCAAAAAAGTGAATCAAGGAACAAACAAAACATGTAGCAGTGCAGGTGGTGAGTCCTTCAGCTGCGGGGCCACAGCTGACGCCCTGCATTCCAACGCTAGCAGCAAAACTGTCTCAAGTTAAAGCAACTTGAAGGGCAACCCAGCTCCTTAGCTCCGTGTTTGATCACTTGAGGGTCTTAATGCTCTGTCATTGCAACTCAACTTCCTCCACTGCCCAGAGTAGCTGCCATTACTCCCTCACAGGTGGTGTTCCTGAGGGCCCTTCCCAGTCCCCATGCAAATCTCAGTCTGTGTCCTCAGAGGATCCCAAAGGAAAACATCCTATGAAATAATTTCAATTAAAGCAGCCTGGTGACCCAATGGCGGGACAGCAGTGGAACAGAACCCACTGAGGACAGAGTTTGGTGGGATGGGTGTTTAGCCAGGGTCCTTGCTTCCCACAGACCCCAAGTGGTGCTAGGAAACCGGTTGTGGGTGCGGCCTGGAAATATGTGGGAGCATTTCTGTTTGTCACAAGCTATCAGGGTGGGAAGAAGCCTGGGATCCCAAACACGTTCCATGAGTTGTGAGGACAGCCCCACAATTGGAAGAGCTGTTGCAGAAACAAAAGGCACAAAAATAAATAGAAACCTGGAAACCTTATTCCCTTTGCTGGCCCCTTGTTCAAGTTTTGTCTCCCGTACACTCTTTGGTGTCTATGGCTAGTTGTGGGGTTTTTGGTATTTGTCCAGATTTTATAGATAAGTGAAAGATGGACTCGAGGGGGTTTGTGCTATTATCATAGGACCAGAGCTAGAGTGATAGAGTTATGATTCCAGGAGGTTAAATGGAGTTTGGGCAATTATGGGTGTCTAAAGTTGCTCTAGAAAAGATTGATCTCAGATAAAGTTGTGGCATCTTGGAAGGGTTCTCACTCTTCTGGTGTGAGTCATATATTTGTAGAGGAAAACAAGCACCTACTGTTGTCCTTGGAACCTGGCCTTTCTCAGGTTCTTCCCTGTTTTTCTGTTTTTCCCAGGTAACACCTGTACTGCATTTCAAATTCATCTCCATCCTCATTTAGGTAAAACACCAGACAGAAGAAATTCCTCATTCAACATTTCTCATTCAATTCTATTGAAATGATCAAGAGGTGTCCTATCAGCATCTTGGCAGTGTGAGTTGCGTGTTTTCTCTCCCTTTCCATTTACATCTAATTGGACATCTGTGACTGATGAAAGTACCCCTGCAGAGCATTAAAGGACACTGAGAGATCCTTGCACCTGCATCCCAAAGTGGGTGGATTTGGAATCAGAGAGGTTGTGGGGCCAAGGGAGGTAGAGCAGCAGCGTGCCAGTGTTGGTCCTAGCAGAGGAGGCTGAGGAGGCAGAAAGCAAAGGGTAAGTTGAAGTCCCCTTGGCGGCTCAGGTGCATGGAGGGACCTGTTTTTCTTCAGCAGCACCGAGATTCCTAAGGAGAGCTCTGTGACTGGCACAAGGGAAGGAAACGGAAGAAAGACTAAAAGAATTGAAGGAAGGTGTTTCCTGCTGTGTGCCTTGGGATTTCAAGAAGTCTGGGAGGTCTGAGACCCCACTCACCCATCCCGCTGGCCTTGGGCACACCCACGACCCAAGTGCTAAAGCCCACAACGGCCCTGCCACTCTGCCACCAACTTTTTTTTTTTTTTTTTAATGTCAGGTCTCTTAGGTGTGCTCCTAATTTTAGCAATGAATTAGCTCCAGCAAGAGAAAATGAAATATTCCAGTAAGAGAAAAGGAGAATTCTGTGATATCATGACCTTCTGGGAAACACAAGTAAAGTTTCTGATTGCCAGTGTGCTTAATTCTTATAATCAAGATCAACAAAGACTTTTCTAAATAAGAAAGATGCTTGATCCTAAATAAGAAAGATGCTTTCCTAAATAAGAAAGACTTTCCTAAATAAGAAAGATGTCAAGTGAGTTGACAAAGGCACATTTCATCTGGTATGGAAAAATTACAGCATGATGGTATCATAAAATGATGACAACTAAATTCAAAGACAATGAATATTGTGATCCTATTCATATATAATTAAAAACAGCTTTCATGAATAAACTCAGCTACAGTACATGTAGAAGGCAGTTCTGAGAACTCAGGCATAAAATTAATGAACAGGAGTACTTTACCAACGAGATTGAAATTATATAAAGGAACCAAACAAATTCTGGATCTGAGGAACTCAACAAGTGAGATGAAAATGAATTAGAAAGCATCGGAAATATAGCAGGTCAGATGGAAGGAAATAGACTATCTGTATGAAAGGAATTTAAAAATGATTCCAGTAGAAGAGGAGAGAGACTAAGATTTTCAACATGTCAAGAAAGCTTATGTGAGTTATCAGACACTGAAAAAAGCCAATATAGGAATAATGAGTATACCAGAAGAAGAAAAGAAGGAGACAGCATTTATTAAAGAAATAATTGCTGAGAGCTTCCCAAATCTGCGAAAGGAACTTAACATACAAGTCCACAGAGCTAATAGAACACTTTATTATCTCAATGCCAAAAAGTCTTTCTCAAGGAGACATTCTAAGTGTCCAAAACCAAGGGTAAAGAATTCGAGGCAGGGGGAAAAGAATTGGTGCACAAAGGAATACCTCACCCCTTAGCCTCTGGGCAGATTTCTCAGCAGGAACACTACAGGCCAGGAGACAAAGGAGAGA